TATTATTATGATCAACGATTACTATGCTACCGTGTCGCAATGTCGAATACAAAGAGCAGATCAAATTTAAAGCGCTTACACACGACACCATCGGTCTCCGAAGGTCTTCGAAGATGAAATACATTATGGGGAACAAGTCATATCGTTCATATATAATACCATTAAAAAGAGACTGTTACATATTTCATGACATTTGGTTATCAGAGCAATCAATACACTTATTGCCAAGCGCAATAATAATCGATGTCGGGTGTCCTTCGGTGCCTAATTGAATTTAATTTATGATGACCATTCGTAATCAGATGAAGTGAAATGTGCGGAGAGCCTATGGTGCTTACGGGCATGACAAAATAATAGGCGTTTCTCTATAGTTCTCGATCTACAGAGGGATGCCTGATATTCTCGAACGTGGAATTCCTCTAAAATATCTACAGCTTTTTATCGCATATTCACTTTTCACTTTTCGTTTCGAGCAAAAGTATGCGATGTATGAGATAGAACTGAGAGAAGATTTTTTAACAAAGCGTTTGCTTATGCGGATACAATTCACTTATAATTTTTTTCTTAAGGTAAAAGTGATAGGTACTGTAGCTTTCTACGATTCTCCGCTCCCTTCTAAGGCTGATTATATCGCGATACGTGATTTTTCTCGTGACGTCGATTTCGTTAATCACGCGTTATGTTAAATCTCTCTCGACTGCTCGTCGTTACTCAGGCAAGAAAATACTTTCGATTGCGCTTGTCTGTCAGAATATCGTCCATTTATCGATATTCCAGATGTTTTGCGCGCCCAAGTTGTACAAAGATAAAAACTGAAAAGGGAAAAAACCGTGGGAAGGAAAAAAAGAGAAGGACGAAAACGAGAGCGGTCCAAGTTTCTCCGACCCAGATTTTCGCCCTGCCATAATCGCACACGACGCGTTTAAAATGGCAGAAGTAAATAAAAAAATCCCAGACGTCGCGCATCTGCCCGACGCGCGAAAGACGCACCTGTGCGAAAGACGCCCGATACGTTTTCCCATTAATTAAACAGATATGAGTAATTTGCCAGAATCACGTAACACGGGGGAGCCTCGTCCAGTTGGGTCTTCCTTCAATCACTGAAGTTCAGCTGGCGCCGCGCGGACTTTCGATTTTCTTTCGGGCTTACACGCGCCGCGAAACGAAACGTATACTTAATATAAATCTGTTCTTAATTTGTGCTCTCTCATGGTTTGAATTATCCTCCAAATTATACGGAATCACCTGTCCGACTGTATGACCGAAATTACAAGGAAGTAAGATACATACAAGTTGCAATGTATATTTTGTTATAAAAGGAACTCGTTAATATACTCGTTTTTTCTATTTATTTTTTATACTTGTAAAATCATATTTTTAAAAAATCGATCAACTGGACATTATATAATAATAGAAAAAGAGATCGTCATTTAAATTTAAACATATGAAAACATGGAAAACAATGTAAAAATTACACAAATTATTTTTTTCGTGTGCAATAGCTTCAGGAACATTCTAAATTTCGCAACCTATTTACAATAGAGAAGTACACAACTTATAAAAAATTTACATATCTTCTCTTTATAAGTAAAGTCTCGAAAGAGAATTAAGTACAAACTTTGTCTCAATACGATATGATGACGACAGAATAAAAAAGCCGGCTGCTCGGCAGAGAGATTGTCCGAGAGAAGTTTTACATGGGAGAATTATCTGTGCGTGGTCGCGGGACCTCGATCGAAAACTCGGTTTTGCATATCAAAGCTGTTACAAAGCGCAATCGCATACGAAAGGCCGCCAGAAAAAGTCGCCGGGATTATACGGGCCATGGGCCAGATTATTCCGGCCGTGGAACATGATATCCTTTATGCAAATTTTGTGCGTGCGTGCGTACGAGATATTCGTGTAGCGGAGAGCGCGACATTGTGCAACCCGATTAAAGTCGATAAAAAAAAGTCAATTAAGAAACGCGAACGCAATTACGCCGAGAAATCTCTTCGCGATCCCGACATCGCGATAAATTAAAAAATGCCGGCTGCGTATTGTCTGCGAATGCGATTGCGAATAATATTTAGGTCGTGATGGTGATATTTTTGTACAATATCAAACGGAATAAAAGAATATTCTCTCGGCAAAAAATAATTCAATGCCGAATTTATTCGATGCCGAATCGAATCATTGTGTGTACAGATTATTTTATATACGAAAAAAATAATAAAGGTGTTTCAATATCTTATGATATCAATTATGAATATTATTTCTGTTACGTCTCTGCTATATAATATTTTCTATTGTTCGAATGATATAAAAGTCAATTAGAAAAATTTAATTTAATTTTGTATCAATTGTTGAAAGAGATATTCTCTAAATGACAATTTTATTAAGTCAAAATACTGTAGAAAAATATCAAATTATTTTAGCTAAATTACATTCATTTTTATATAATATAATTATTATATATAATAATTTACATAGCACGGATTATTTTCCTGAACAAGTAACACGTTTTTATTATATAATAAAAGCAAAAAAAGAAATAATGTAAAGTAGAAAATAATAAAAGATATAAAAAAGATATAAAGAAAAATATTATAAATAAAGAGATAATTACACAGAACTGAGAGAGATGAAAAAAAGAAATAATTACAGAGATTATATAAGACGATAAAAAAGATTATCATGAGGATCAAGCACGAAATCAAGCATTTCTTCTCCTTTTTTCATGGAATGCGATCAATTTAATTTGCGGAAGCCGGGTAAAGATTAATGAAAATATCGGATTTTAAAGAGCGTCCCTGATTCCGCACGGGTGTGGCGTCGCCAAACAACTTAATAAAGGTGCACGCAATACGCGTAATACGCATATAACGACGATTAGCATCAACGGAGAATGAAAAAAATTCATTAGCATGAATACGACTTGTCCTTCACGATTATATCGACATGTTTATCCTATGTCATGCATCCCGTCTCTCTTTATTTTTCGACAGGACTAACTTTCAGTTTCATTTCTCATGATCTCCCAGACTTTCTCGGTGAATCAATTATAATTATATGTGCACAAAATGGCGAAAATTACATGTGAAGACTTATGCGACGAAAACATATTATTTAAGCGAGCAAAAAAAAAGATTGAGACTCATGAAAAATGACTTCTAATACTAATTGAATAATAATTGAATAAACGCATCAAATGGGATAAATTGGCTAACGCGGAAAAGTTAATTGATTAATTTTCTCTAACTTAAACTTATACTTTGTGCTTTATTTGTTACATAATAATGCAAAAAATTTTTTCTTACTATAAAATTTTTATATTATTTTATTTTTACATGTTTTCAAAATATTATTTTCAAAATATTGAAAAAATGTGCAAAAATAGTTACTAAATATAATTAATCGATTGTTTAAAACATAAATAGGTTTTTTTTATTCTTAATCGAAAAATTCCTGATTTTCAAATACATCTCTCTCTCTCTCTCTCTCTCTCGCTCGCTCGCTCGCTTTCTCATTCTCTTGCTCTCTTTATTTCTTTGTTACATGAAATTTAAAAAATTCTAATTGCTTATATAATACATATTAAGATACGTAATTTACGATTAGTAATAAAAAAACGACGGTTATCAATAGCATCGGTGGAAAATGTCGCGCCATTACTCTGATTTATACCCCGCATTACGAAAGGAATGTTGGATTTACATCATCGTGGATTTATGTTTACGATACCCGAATGGAATCGACAAGGTGATACATCGAACAAAATTGGCATTAACTTATCCCTGTGAATAAAAGGACATGAAATCAACGATATGCTTACGCACACGTTCATGCGTAAAGATAATCATGAGATTAACAATCAGTATTCACGGTCATCGCACGCAGCTTGAACGAACTCGCTTTTATTTACGACGACTAACGCTTGGCATGCGTTTCTATAATTAGCTGATAATATCGGCATTTGTGACTCGAGGGATCAAGACGAAAAGTAGAACTTGTAGAAACGAATTTTAATGTAGAAGGTAATATCGAACAAATTATAATGACAGCGAAAAGATAATGAAGAGAAAGAGAGAAACGTAAACATCTAACAAGAATAATTTTCAATGTAAACGCAAATGATTTGTGGATAAACTGTTTACTTAAACCTAATTAAATATTTATAAAATAATATTTTGACATTCTTATCGATAATTTTGAAATTACAAATTAAGAAAAAAATTCTTTTTTAATTAAAATTTAAAAAATTATGTTATATATTATTTATATAACATAAGTGTATAACATAAGTGTATAACGTATATATATAATGTATAATGTATAAAAATATATATATATTTTTACATATGAATATTATATATTATATTATATATTTTAATCATCTTAAAATTTAAAGAATACTTTTTTCTAATTTTTAAAAAATTTGTTTACTTTTTATGGTACAAATTAAATTAAAGAGTTGAAGATATAACAAAATTTTATTCTTTATTTCTATATAATTTGCTATTACTTTCTAATAGAATTATACATACAATGTTCAGCTGTTTATAGAGATACTTAGCATTGAAATTTAGCAATCAAAACAAAAAATTGCAAAAAAATTCACGTTTGCAAAATAGTGTAATAAGAAATTAAAAAATTACCGTATTCGAGATATGTAACATTTGCAATTTTTATTCCCGTTTTAAATGTATCTTAAATGTATCTTGTTTTTTAAACGATAAAATAATACAAACTTAGCGTTTTGGCGAAAGAAAAAATAAGAGGTATAAAATACACGTTCGATAAATAATATTACGTATATTCTTTTCAACCGCACATGGAGATCCTAATATAGAATCTTTATTTTCTCTGCGTAATGTCATTCATAAAATATTATTGCGTGACAACATATCATCTATTACGCTTGTGCCATTTTCGGAAGATGTAAATAAAAGTGCAGTTGTGCAAAATACGAATATATTATTCGTCGAAACTGTCGACACACATACCTCGAAATTTGCAGCCATTTGTATCGGACGAGTCGTTGCTGGATAACCTCGCGCCAAACATTTAAGCGAGAAAATCGGCATCGCGTTCCACAGCCGCCTTCGTTGCAATTCGTCTCGATTCGCGCTTGTCAGGTCCAATCTTGTTGTCCGCCACAATTCGCGATAACCTTCGCGAGAACTTGCCAAATCCGAGAAGATCCGAGAAGAATCCGTTTTAAAATCGCGGACACTCGTTCGCGCGCCTCGCGCCGATTCAGATACGTTGAAGACGCATTCGGGATCATCCGCATGAACGCAACGGACATCCGCTTCAAAAGATGGACGCCCGCGGTGCCCCGCAAAATACCGGACAACATCGTGTCCTCGAGTTACACGACGACGAGAGTATTCGTGCCGTCTTATGAAAAGTATGAATATTTGCCGCACTTAATAAAGAGGAGAAAATCCTCGCGATCCAGTCATATATTTAACTCAGAGATATAATTATATAATCATATATCATATAAGAAACTAAGACACCATAATCAGATGTTCAATCATAGAATATTATCAATAGATTGCAGGAGAGAATGAAATAAATTGAAATAATTCTCGTGCTTTACGTAAGGATGCATTTACACATTAACAGAAAAGCAGAAGCCAATTAGAATTCGCGCTGGTAATTACAATTTCTACTTTTTGTCCTTCTAATGTACTGCTTACACCCTGCTTATTATCAGCGTGAGTTGTGATTGGCTTTCCACTTTTTTGCTTTACTGCCAAGATATGAATGCGCCCTAAGGAAATCATGGAGGGAAAAAAATTTTCAAATAAATCTAAAGATTTAAAAAACATTGAAGAATTATAATAAAAAGAGAAAAAACGCAGAAGCAAATAAATAAACATTAAAGTCTAAATAATAAATAAAAAAATTCTTCTCGAATTGTCTACGTTAAATCTTTTTCGCTATCAAATTTCAAGAAAAAACTATGATGTTCTCTTGTGTTATATCTATATATTAATTATATTATATAAAATAGAGAGAAAATAATTGTATGAAAATTTATATAATTGTATACAATAATTATATATTATATAAAATAATTATAATTATAACAATTATATATCAATAATTATATTTTTATTTACGATTTAATTTCCGCAGAGAAAGACGTCCTTGCATCGAACAATTACTCACGAACGATTATCAGCGTATTTGGTGGCAGGAGAAACAGGCTTGGGACAAGACCATAACTGCTCGAAAACCGATTACAAAAATACTACCTCGTATGGTAAGCAATCATTAAGCAGCTATTGCGTGAGCGATGATTAAATTTGCAAAATTACAGATGGTTAAAAGAAAAGTACCGACATGCGTGACCGTTAAATATCTAACAAGAACGGAACGATTGAAGAAAGGAAGAAAGGAAGATTTAAAGAAAAGATTCAATTCTAAAGTTGAAGAAGAATCAATCTTTACTGCAAAACATGACGATACGAAATTAAACGAATGTGAGGAAACGAAATTAGAAGAGCCCGAGGAATTACATAAGGAACATGAAGAAGCGAAATCGGAAAAATGCGAAGAAATTAAATCAGAGAAATTCGCGGAAACGGGATCGGAAAAACATGAAGAAACAAAAAGAGAAAAATATGAGGATACTAAATCGGAGAAATCCGTGGAAACTAGATTAGAAAAACGCGAAGAAACAAGAGACAGATACGAGGACGTTAAATCAGAAACATATGAAGGAATAAAATTAGAAAAATCCGAAGAGATAAAATCAGAGGAACACGAAGAAACGCAATTAGAAAATAACGAAGATACAAAAACAGAAAAATACGAAGAAATAAAATCAGAAAACGGGAAATAAACCATTGCATTGTATTACTATGTCACAAGAGAAAGAGAGAGAGAGAGGGAGAGAGAGAGAGGAGTAAAATTGCAAAAATAAAAATATCCTAAAATAAAGATTTAAAAATTTGCTAAAAGTTTTATTTCTCTTAAATTTTTGTGTTTTCTTCAGTTTTCCGAATCTTTCATAGAATTAATCAAATTAATATAATTAATTTAATATAATTATATAATAATATAATATAATAATAAAATATAATTATAATTACACTAATAATATAATTATATAATAATAAATATAATTATATAATAATAAAATATAATTATAATTATATAATATATAATTATATTGATTATGTTATATTTAGTATATTATTTAATATATATGTAATCAGTTTAAAATACGTAAATTTTTTTTTTTTATTAAATAAAAAATAAACGCCAATTTTTTTCTAACCTTATGGCGCCATCTAACATGTAAAATAATCTACGATCAACATCCGTCGATACAAAAAAGAAATCCGCTTTCTTGTAACACGATCATGATTAATGCAAGTCTCTACTTTCCCGAGTAATCGAAAGATGCCCCAAAATGATACGGCAGAGCTGCGTGTCAGGCGATTTATACGTCGATAAACATGTCTTGCACATGCGCGAAATGAAAACATCACGAACACATGATATTTATAACCTCAAATTTATTTTTCTCCTAACATTGAAACTTTCCTCTCTTCAACTTACACTTACTTAAAAATTATTAAATTTGATTTTTAATCAGCTTTAATCGAAACTACTGTTTCGAGGTGAACGAAATGCAAATGCGATTATAATGCAAAGTGTGTTCGCGGTAAAATTGATCGCGTGCAGAGCTTATCCGGTCTCGTTGATTTTCACGTCGTTTCGCGGCAAACACGTGCACCCGAAGCACATATTGAAGATGAACGAGGCTTTCCTCCGCTACGAGAAGGGTAGCGAGGTGTTCGACATCTCGTTCCGCTACGTGGACGAGACGATGAATGTCGACCGTCAGTTCAACTTCTCTAGACAGATCACGGAGAGCGTCAACAATTTCCTCAAGAGAGTCGACACAAACGTTTGCAAAATCATAAACAGAAAGGTGCGAAGGCGAAATGAAACATTTGCAAGTTAGCTTAGATATGTAAAAAATATCTACCTATTTGTGATGAATGTTATTGCGATCAATAGAAAATAATTGAAATGTTGAATTATTGGCCTGCGACATTCAAATCTGTTATGCTGAATCTAAAACTTGGAACTAATTGCATTCTCTTACTTATTTAGATATAAAACTCGTATTTCTGCAAAACATGTTATTTATAATTTCAAATTATACTTTGATATGACGCACTGATTGTTTATACATAGGTTTTTCAATGCAAGTCAATGAATAATCAATGAATAATTTGTACATACTTTTCTTCCTTTTTTAAAGTAGTTTATATTAAAAGAAGTTATATTTTGTTGATATAATGAATTTTATTATAATAAGAGTATTATACTTTTCTTTCTCTCTCCCTCTTTCACACAATACACAAGATATTTTAAAAATTGTTAAAATTAAAGGAACAAAAATTTCCTTTAAAAATAATTTCGAAAAACAATATAATACTTCTTACTACTAAAATTAAAAAAAATTAAGAAAGTTTTTGAAGAATTATATAATTTCTAACTAGACTTTATATAAAAATTAAAAAGAAAATATAAAATATCTAATCATGAATAAAAAAATTTTTTTTTTAGGTGGAGAGAAAAAGAAAAAAAAATGCCGCTTTGGATACATCTGCTCTGCCAAATGACAATGTGGATACTGGGAAGATCATGCTTCTCAAGGATGATATCAAAGTAGATGGCAATGTATTATGCAAGAACCTTTTACAGGATAGTGCAAAACTTAAGCTAGTTATTTTCGAGAAGATGTTCTTAGTGAAACAGAATGCGCCTTATATTATCAATATGTTGTTACCATCGAGCATGCTAGTGGGTTTTCCGACTTACCCATCTAAATTTGAGTCATTGTATACTGACAAGAAACAATCGATATTTAACTGGTATAAAAATGATGCTATTAACAACAAGTCAAATGTATGGACACACGTAGGAAGTGGATTTCTGTATGAACCAAATGTGTCTGATATTGGTTGCAACTTAAAGATTAGCTGCGAACCGCGAAATGAATCGGATTCCGGTTGTAACATGGAAGTGGAATCGAAAAACGTTGTGGAAGCTGGTCCTGGACCATGCCCATTTGACATTCGACACCAGTTTACAAAACATAAATTATTAGGCAGAAGGTATATATACATATATGTATATGGTAATTATAAAATGTGATAAATATAAGCTGAACAAATCTGTATTGTTCATAGAGTCCAACAAAATAAAAATTATATCAAGCATATACATCAGCATACATTTTATGTATACATAATATATTTATTAAAGAGAACAAATATTCAGTTTTAGGATAATGTCTTATAATATACTAGCAGATACATATGCTGATTCTGATTTTTCGAAGGATGTATTATATCCATATTGTCCACAATATGCATTAGATATGGATTATAGAAAGCAATTAATACTAAAAGAAATAATAGGTATGTGATAAACGTATAATTTTAAAATTATTTTATCTTTTATTTTTTTATTAAACATAAAAAAATTTCTTGAATGTTTAAAATCTTAAAACGATGATTGATAAATATTATTTATTTTGTTTTATTTAAATAAAAATGAGATCACTTATTTTCTAATTCTTCAGAATTTCTTCAAGTATTAAAGTAAAATGTCATTTTAGATTACTGAATCAAAACAACAGTAAAAATTTATTTTTTTTTTGCAGGATTTAACAGTGACATAATTTGTCTGCAAGAAGTAGACAGGAGTGTATATGAGCATGATTTGTTGCCATCTTTGTATATGTTAAATTACGATGGCGTATTCATTACAAAGAATGAAATTAACGAAGGACTTGCCACGTTTTTTAATCAAGAAAGATTCGAAAAATTACGATTTGAATACAGCGTAATAGCTAAAAATATCGATTTTCCAAGATTCACTACTATTTGGTCCAAAATTAATAACAATAAGACAAAAGAGAGATTTTGTAGTAGAAATACAACCATTCAGGTAATAATATGATTGCTCATTATCAATATTATGACAATATTAGTACCAATTGAAAAGATTTTTATTTAGGTAACGACATTGCGATCTAAAGAGAACCAATCTGAAATCTTGATCATCGGTAATACGCATTTATACTTTAAACCCGATGCGGATCATATACGTTTATTGCAAGGATATTACACGATTACATATGTACATGAAATAGCGAAAAAAATACAGGAAGAGGTATATATTTTTTTCCATAAAAATTATTTACATTTATATATTCAGAAAAAAAATATAATTTGGAAACGTTACTCTAACATTCGTATAAATTACTCAAAGCTTAAATGCGTATTTTCAAATTTATATTTTATATTATAATTTTGCAATTATAATTACAAGACTGTGCATACATTGACAGAATCCCGAGTGTAACGTAAGCGTATTACTTTGCGGAGATTTTAACAGTGTGCCGGAATGTGGCATTTATCAGTTAATGACTAAAAATTATGTTCCGGAAACATGCGAAGACTGGAGAAGTAGTGAGTGATTTTTCATATTATTTATCAATTTCCGAAAGCCTTTTTTTTAATTTCATTGTTTATTTGAACACAATGTGTATTTCAATGTGTATTTGAGTTCAATTGTATAATAAAATATCTTTCGTTTTCAGATACCGACGAAGCTATAGAAAATGTATCCCTAACGCAGGATCTTTGCATGTCTAGCGCTTGTGGTACGCCACAATATACGAATTATACGCCAGAGTTCTCTGGTTGCTTAGATTACATATTTTACGAAAAAGATAAATTTGAAGTGGAACAGATAATTCCAATGCCTAGTAAAGAAGAACTTACTCTTCATACGGGTTTGCCATCTGTAGTGTTTCCTAGTGATCATATATCCTTGTGCGCAGATTTAAAGTTAAAAGAATAATAAATATACACATTGAAATTATTTTTGTCATAAAGTTCTGTCCTACTATTAATCCTTACTTATATTAAATATATAGTAATTAAATTAGATCACAATCATACAAGAATGTTATATATATAAAAGTTTACAATTCAAACGTAAAATAGCCCTATAATTGAAATTTATATTCATAATTAAACTATTTCTTGAGATTTTTATATACAATTCTCTATTTTATCTATTTTTATTTATTTATTGGCTCTTTTACTTCTGTATAATTTTTTATATTGTTGATTAATTTATTGTCAGATCAACCTTAACTGAGATTTTTTAAAAATCAAATTTTATTTCAAAATATTTAATTACATAAATTATATTTTTTTAACAATGTCAAAGCTCTGTCAAGTCTATTGGAGTGATACGTAACTTTGTATAAAAATAGTAGATTTATAGTTGGCAGATCTTAGAATTCTTCATAAATCCTTCACTCCATACATTTTTCAAAAGAGTTGATAAGCCTTTTCTGATACAAATAAATACAATAAAGTAAAAGCACAAAAAATCACTATATAGTTAACAAGTTAATTTTTCTATGAAACAATAAAAAAAATTTCTCAAAAACCATCTAATGAAATATGAACTGATATGTAGCTTATATTTCGTTAGATGGATTCCAAACACTATTATATACATGTACGTATATTATGTATGTATGCATGAGCGTGCGTGTTAGGCATATAATAAAACGCATTTGTTTATAATCATCAAAGTATACATTTATATTTCATTAATACGAAGATACAATAAAGTGACATTACTTATGTGTTTACGACGCTACTTAGAATTATAATTTACAAAAACTTATATACAAATTAATTGTTTCTTTCTTTGATGGTTCCATCTTAGAGATCTAAGTAAGAATTTTGAATTTTATTAAACTACAAATTTCTCATTTTATTACGCAAAATATTTTCTATGAATCTTTTATTTTGTAAAAACGAAAAAATTGAATTTTTTGCGTTTCGTAATCAACTTTATCAAAGTCTACATTTAACGATTAAAAATTTTTCATAATTTATGACTACCTGAATCCGAAATTACATAAAATGTTTGATGTATAAAGATCTTCCGAGATATATTTTAGAAAGGGAAAAATTATATATGTGAATATTTTATGGTTGAAACATTTTTCTATTTACCTATTTCTCTTTTCTATTGTATATTCGAAAATATGCAATCATGTCATTTTACACAAAACACTGTGTGCTTGTGCATATAATATATCTTAAAAATATTATATTCAGCCCTTTTATACTATTTTATACTCCATAAACTGTGAGATTTTGAGATTTTAAGACTCTTCTTCTTATTTAATCAAATCAAAGGACGGAAATCTAAAGAAATAAATTATCTTAATTTAGAAAAAATTTTTAATTAGTTTCAGGTTTAACGTAATTATTTATATGAAATCTTACAGCATGTACAATTATACGAATATAAACAAGAACGTTTTATGCAAAATTCTTACATTTTGTTCTTTAACTAATTATTTCAAGTTTGACTCTTCTTACAATAATTTTATTTGCTTTCATTTTCTTTTAATATAGAACATTTCAGCAACCAGAAAATTTGACTCCGAAACGAGTCTTACTTGGTCTATTATTTTTGTTATAACTGTGTACACAAGAGAGTTAATTATATGTTCCAACATATAATTAAAAATGCTACGATTGCATTTTACTACTTATAGGAAGATTTTATATGGTATATATTATGTACTTTATTTGTTTCTGATCACAATAGCTTTTTATTAAAATGATAACCTACTGCAAAATCGTGTAAATTACGCTAATAAAAATAAGGAAAATCTTATCGTGAATCAATGTAACAATCAGCCGAATGAAAGGTCCTAACGTATGTAAATTTTGTTTTTACTATCATACATTTTTGCTCTTCCATTTTCCATATGTATATACAACAAATCTAATGTATAGATGCTTAACATAATCCTCGTTACTCTCATTGTCATAATCATTATAAATGTATGTTAATCCTCTCATTCCCAATGTAAATATGTGATAATGTACAAGCAGATATATTTTTAAATTTCGATACAAGTTGAAAATAGAATCCTAATCAATGAGTTTTCTTTTTGTTTAAATTTTAGCTACAAACAATACAAATTTAGGAAAGATACAAAGTAAAATGCAAGGAATTAAAATTAATTAGATAACTGACAGGTACTTTTATTATTTTAATATTTAATGTTTCCCATATTTTAAATACAAGATTAGTATTATAAATAGATTAAGAATGAGAAGATTAAGTTTTCTTTTACTTAAAATAACTGTTTTAAATGATCGATCGAACATGTTGACATGAAAACGAATTTCAAAAATATGCTACGATGAATGCAAAATATGTGAAATAAAACTTGCTATTGTGTGAATAAATATTTATTTTGTAATTTTTAAAGTAACAAAGTATTGACTATCATTATATCTGCATATGTTACTGTTAGTATTATTAACATTTTGAATCTGCCATAAATTTAACTACCATATACTTAATTTTTTGCCCTCATATTTTTTTAATCATTATTTTATAAGTAGAACATTTATATATTTTTATGCGAAATAGAAAAACTACTTGGAAAATTGTTTATATTTATATATATATATATATATATATATATATATATATATATGTATATACGCATTTTTTTCTATAATCATAATGCAAGTATCTAAACATATTTGATACACATGTTGCATTATTTATTATAATATTACAAAGAAAAATTTGAAGTACTCGATATCTGTTTAGTTGAAATATTCATTATCTGTTTATTATATCATGAAAATAAGAATTTTGAATATATGCATATAATACGAAAAAAATAATTTATTTTGTAATCCATAAATTTTTCAATTGATGTATATCTAAAATAGTCAGATTCAAAATGTTGAGCAAAAAATTTCGAACATTCTTCAATTGACACAAACTTTGATTACATTTCGATCAAAAACTCATGCAAACAATGCATGATGCTGTGAATGAGATAATTCGAACTTATTGCATTTACGATATGCTATGAATTTATACCATTGCGACACAATTATTCTCGTGAAAATCTTAAGTCGGAGATGCTTCCTTTTCCCATTTTATTAATAAAAAAAATGCAGTCTTACGTGACAGCGATGTGAGTGTGTATATGTATGAATGTGTGTGTATGAATGAGAATAGAACGCAATACTACGCAAGGATTTACACATCAGTGGACGATTGTTGCTCGCTTGCTCGTTTTAAGATTATCACATTCCTCTTCGCGGCGCACTTGGCACCAATAATTGCAACGCGGTCATCGCGTCCGGGAATAGAGAGTGATAATTCACTACTGGCACATAGGCGGCGGTTATGACGCGACCGGCAAACCATCGACCATGTAGCGAATTTACAGCCGCCACGGCGGTTGCAATCGACGGACATTTTACATAAACGTTGCCTTGCGGTGACGCTTGGTCCACGTATACATGTAGCACGCCGCCATGCTTGTTACATTCCTCGATTACATCGTCGCGAATTTCCTTTGCCCAATTAGGATTTGTCTCACTGAAACAATACGATATCAAAGTTATAATTTTAAATTAATTTTACAAAAAAAATAGTTTTATTATTAATAATATTTACGAATTTACACTTTTAATATTTAATAAAGATTAATATTAATAGATAGATTATTCAAAAAAATGTTTCTACAATAAGCTTGTCATATTATCATTACTTTGCATAAAAGAAACTTTAGATATGCTTAAGTAAAATGATAACATTTTTATTTAGCATATATATTCCCCCTAGTGAAAGTATGATATACATGACACCAGGTCTACAAATATGCAATTTACAAATGCTACTTCGATACCAAGAAATCTAGGCAACTTACTTTTGAGGATCGAACATGTTTGATAACATAAAGCACTGTGTCGCGATTGGAGGCGCTGCCTGAGGTGGTGGTTGTGGTTGTGTCATGACTGGAGCCATATTTAAAGCGTTTGCTGCAGCAGGAGGAATTTCTAGACCGGTACCTTCCGCCAACTTGAACATCAGTTGTAATCTACAAAGATTATATTGTGCAAATATTTTAAACATACTGTTTTATATTTACATGTGCATATTTATACTCTTTTTTTTTTTTATCTTCCTTTATCTGTGTAATTTTTTCTGTTCTTATCATACTTTACGTACCTTCCAGTTGCACCGAGATCAATACCACTACGATCTAATTCATCCGTATCGAGAAGAGACGGCCCTTGAATCAAATCGGTTCGTTCTGTTACATTGCCCACTTTCATAGGTCTACCAGCAAGCTCGAATCCATTCAATTGTTCTAAAGCTTTCTTCGCATCATCTGCATTTCTGAACTGAAAATGTAATAAAGATTTTGAATTTTACATAGATATATATAACATCAACCTTCATATGAATTGTTTAAAAGATATCGATCCAATCATTATATAAAGAAATAATACAATAATTTCGCGTATTTAAAGAGAAGAGACGTTTACACAGATAAGACTAGAAAAACTTACTGTCAGAAAACCGTAACCTTTACTACGTCCGGTCTCAGGGTCCATAATTAATTGTATATTATCAATTTTTCCGAATGGTTCGAAAATCCCGCGAAGCATATCTTCTGTGATATTAAAATGGAGAGATCCTACATATAATCGCATAGGTCCTGTTTGTCCTTTAGGCATTAGGTTTGGCATCGAATTGCCCATGCGATTCTTCTCAGCTTGTGTATGCTGCACTACAATAGGTACTCCAAGGAGCTTTTGACCTGATAGACCGAGAGCCTGCAAAACAATGTGAAAGTAAAAAAAATTTTTTCTGTTTGATTTTTTAAAAAAATTTCATTTAAAACTTTCAGGAAATATTATTGTTTTAAAAAATATTATTAGTCAGTTATCATTAGTTATCTCCAATTGTATAATAACGTCACGTGAATATACTCACGAGTGTCACACTTTCTGGATCTTTGAATTCGACATAAGCAATGCCCTTAAATCTTCGAGTTTTATTACATGTAATTAATCTAACATCTTGCACTTTGCCGACACTCGAGAAAAATTCCTCCAAGTCTCGTGCACGGATTCGCTGACTCAATTGCATACAAAAAACAGTCCGAGCATCTCGTTCTTCTGGTGTCAATTCATCATTTCTGAAAACAAGATTTTTGTCAGTAAATATAAAAAAGAGAACATGTTGAAAAGTTCAAAGAATTGATTTATTAGTATGATATTGTTGAATATTAATTTTTGTTACTGTAATATGTATGTAATTAGTAACAAATAAGCGAAACCTCATATTCAAATTAATTTAGCATAAATATATCCCCCAAAATCATAAATTGCAGCTTCATGATTGGGTCTAGTCAATTATGCATTTTATCACGAAAGAATATTATTTAAAACTGTTAATTAGATTTGATCATAAATTAAATATAATTTTGTTCTTAAAAAATCTAAATAGAATAGACAGGCTCATAAGAGACGTCAAAACAATTTGGTATTTATGTATTATAAATAAGAATTTCGATACTTATTAAAGTATGATATTCTCCAAAGTATAAATCCCAACTTATGTAAGATATACTTACATTCCAAGAGGACTGTGACCTTTGCCGAACGGTGGTCGAGCTCTAGGAAGAGTGAGTGGTGTTAGTGATCTCTTTCTTCTCCTATCCCTATCTCTGTCTCTGTCTCGCCTCTCCCTGTCCCTATCATCACGATCTCTGTCGCGGTCCCGCCTGTCTCGTGATCGCGATCTGCGTCGACGGTCGCGGTCGCGATCGCGATCCCTGTCCCGATCACGATCCCGGTCCCTGTCTCTGTCTCGATCCCGCCGATCTTTGTCCTTTTCTCGACGATCGCGATCTCGAGATCGTGAACGAGAACGCGAACGATGTTTGCTTTTCCTATAAAAAGAAAAGTACTTCAATTAAAAGGTCCGCTCAAAATGAAGAGGATCGAGTAATGCCCAATTCAATAAATCTTTAAATATACCAAAGTGGAGACACAAAATATCCATGTGTAATTATTGTAGATGTATTGTCAGGATGTATCAGACATATTAATTTATGCTGGACACCAAACTAAAAAGAATGTCAAAGTAAAGATCTCAAAATATTTAAATCATAAACTATTAATTACTTATTAAATATTAAAAAGATAAAAAACGACAAAATTTATGAATTTTTTTTTTTAAATATTGAAAATAGGTCTGAAACATCTTGCGAAATAATCCCTAAAATTTATAGGATAACATACTTTATATATTTAAAAATAAAATATTATAATAATATAATAAATATTATAATTGAGAATGAAAAAAAGATTTCAACATCTCTCCATCAATGTTTATGATGATTATGAAATGTTATTGCAGAGTATATTTCACTAATGTATTTGGATTGAATTATATAATACCATTCTTTTTATACAAAATAATTTGGATAATATATATATATAAAATGAGAGGAGCGCTCGAAAATGCGCGTTTTAGATTAATTCTCTAGCAATACCTAATTCAGTTACAGTTAGAAAACGAAGTTGCGTTATCAAATTTCCCGGAATTTAAATATCGAGTCTCCCAAGATTTGGTTGTGTTAAGATGATAACGCAAGTAATTCGTGATTCTATATATATTGTGTCTTTATTTTTATTTTTGAGAATTATTAAAGAAGTTGCATTTTTCGAGTTCGCGAGAGGAATCTGTAATACAGATATTCTTCCTATATATACTTACCATCGTCAGGTTTAACCTTTGGAATTATCAAATTAACCAGCATTTACACTAATTGTATGGGGTCTATAACAAAGAGAATAAAACTTCAGATGGGTCTGTTAAAACGAGTGACTAACGCTGCTTCAATTATGGCGCAAAGACATGGTTATGCAAGAGATAACACTTTAGTAGACTTTCTTCTTTAATATAACTCGAATTGACAATATAAATTTGCAGTTCATCAGCATTCATTGGCGCATGCTAACACCAATATATGAATTACAGTTTTGTTCAAATTTTTTGATAATTTTACAATTGCAACTTGTATAATTTTACAAGTACAATTTCGGGTTAAAAAAGGATATCCTGACAAAGGCACAAAAAAATTTAGATCTTTTATAGTTTTCAAATTTTACCGCAATCTTTTGCGATTAAAGTCCATCGAAATTAAATTGGAAAAGACCAAAGTATCCTTGATTTTTAATCGTTGTGCGAAACATGATTGAATGTTATGATGTTATCAATCGCCCCTTTATTATTAATGCGTCGCATTTAATAGCACAATTCAGATGTATCGATACAACATTACTCATTTCACAAGTGACCCAAATAAAAATCTCAAAGCGTGACGAATAAATGCAAAACGATGGCAATTAGGTCGATAATTCTGTCTTAGCAAAAAACTTAGATACCAGCAGGTTTTAACACATGATAATCTATAATATTGCTTAGTTTCAAAGTTAAATACGAGGATCGTGCAATTAAGAGTCTCGTAACTCTTTCATTAACATTCTCCACTTAATTAATCCTTAATATAACAAAATAATTCATATAAAAGTGTTCTACTCACCCAGACGATTTGCGACTAGACCCATTCTCCTTGGAGGACTTGTCTTTGGAGGAGGAGTCCTGCTCCTACGAACAGCAAACAGTTGAATGCCATGCCAGCCAGTCGATGTGGCAGGGACGCGCGAACAAGGGGACAAAAAGCAAATCGTAGAACGTTAGTAAATTTCGTAACGATAGTGTTTCTTTTAGCTATATGAAATTATATACAAATATATAACAATATTATTATATCTTTTCCGGGTTCTCTACAAATCTGTATATCAAATTCGACAAGAATTGGGAACGAGAGAGAATCTGTTTTCTTTTTCTTATCCTGTCGATATTACTACGGTAGCAACCTTTCTCCTTGCTGCGGAAGAGCAATGCTATTTTTTTTCTTATGCTGGATGACAGAGACAGACGTCGGCGTCAATTCTCGTGCTCTTTCTCATCTTTTTTTTTCAGGATTCTATGTAGGTCCCCGAGAGCGCTGAGGAAGGGAAAGGTACAAGAAAAGAAGAGAGAGCAAGGGTGAGAGAGAGCATGTGTATGTGATAGAAATAGAGAGAGAGAAGAGAGAGAGAGAGAGAGACAGACGGGGCGAGCATAGCGATGCGACGTGGTCGCATGCACCTGGCTCAGACTTACCAATCGCTTTATCGGGTTTTAGGAAAGCATTGCAATCTTGGGTTGAGCATGCCTTGGTCTTTAAACTACCAATGGCCAACCACACATCCTTTTTCTTCTGTAAAAGAGAGCCCTCATCAAAGACAGCACGATTTCAAAGCGAAAGACGCGAGTGAGCAACCCTAATCGCTACGATTGCCTACGATTGCCCGCGCGCATTTACCGATTACAGGGATTGTGTCTCATTAATTTGGGGATCGTTTTATCACAAATCAACCTTTTTCTCCTCCGGTACACAGGGAAATCAACCGGACAAAGCACTTGTAAAACTCACGCAGATCTGCGATCTGACCGAGTCTGGAGAAAATGTTTCTTTTATTCTTGTTGTAAGACGATAATACTTAAGTAGTAACATATAAACAAGTAATGAATATTTGAACATAAAGATGAACTCTTTTTAGTTCGTTCAATTAAATTTAACTAAGATAAATGAATTATTTTTACGAAGAATACAAAAGTAACATTTTCTTTAAAAAATTTCATTGTAATTTTTTTTTCCACACAATTTGCTGATCAGCATATTCTCGTACTTTCATGTGGCACCAAATGTAATAAACAAGATGCTTACAAAACTTTTATCCAATTTCTTGAAGAGTCAACGCATTTTTTGACATATATAATATAATACAATGTATTATTATTATAATAAAAAATATTATTGTGTTTTTATTTTCAACATTGGAACTCTATGCACATACATGCATTATGCTACCTAAAATGATGGGTCAACAAAATGGATAAGCATTTTGTAAGCAACTTAAAAATGCCAATTTTTATAGAATACACAAGCATTGCTGAAAGCAACGTAAGAATTTCGGAAGCCTGACGTGTCTTCTGTCGCACCGCAAATAAGTGTTGTGATACCTGATCGATGGCATTACCTAGAAGGCAAATTGCTATCATTACAAATTGCACAAAAAAACAGTAGGCAGGGTATAAATATTTTGTAAAATGAGCTCGCTCGCACGAACCGTTACATAAGTAAAACATTTTGAGGTTCCATAAAAGCACACTAGAGAACTTTAGCATTTTGACGATTGGATATAGAATATTTGATAGATGCATTTTATAGCTTTGCTATAATAAAAACCAAATATTATTTTTCAATATAAATTGAGAAAATTAATATATAATGTATTCAAATAATACATTATATAAGGATAAAACAGATAACATATTACTTATAAATATAAACAAGAATAATATTGCAAATAATATGTTATAAATCACAGAATAAATAAGATATTTAAAAATCGACGAATTCTGTATATAATTATTAGCATGTACTAATTATACAAAGATAAGATAAGTGAGATAAGAAAATTTACATCAAACAAAATATGATAAGAAGACAATATATATAATTTTTTATATTGTCATACGACTCAAGAAAAATAAAATTATTAATAAATGTAGTAATTACTGTATAATTAAAATTTATTATCTCTTATAAATGTTATTTTTTTCAGGTTTATCTTTGGTGGGAAAGAGAAAAAGAAGAAGAATGAAGAGTATTATCAGAATATTATAATACGCAAAGTATTTTTTCTTTATACTTTATAGATAAGATAATGCCTTTTTATCTAGGCAGAACAATTTCATATTAAGAAAAGCATTGTATTCAGAAAAATATTGTTTTGTACCATTAAGTGCATTCGATTTATCCAAGATGTACAAAAATTGTATGTATTGAGTTTTGTATGTACATGAGAACTGTGAACTTTGAATCAATGCTGATATCCTTCAATCCATAAATTCATGAATCTTTAAACAATACTCTGCCTATCTTTAAATTCGTAAATGCCAAAATTCAGAGATCCTTCAATACACAATTTGTTAAAGTCTCAATCAGACATTCTTAAAGTCAAGCATACACATTCATCCAGTTTTTGTTAAAATAAAAACCTTTGTGATTCCTGTCTAAGGATACCAATGTCGTCATATGTATAAACAGCATAAAACTTTCCGTCACAAATTATCATTGTTGAAAACTGCCTCCGGCGTGCATCATGATGACGCATGATCTACATTCTAATGTTACCAAATGTTGCACCTTTGTAAGATAATAAAATAAAATTAAAAAATTAAAAAAAAAATAAATAATAAAAATAAATAAAAAGAAACTGAGACTAGAGATGGAAGACACAGAAGAGACGGAAAAAAAAAGAATTAAAGTAAAGAATGATGTTAGATGATTGCTATATCTTAATACCTCGTCTTTCGAGTGCATTCTAGGAACTCGCTGGCGAACATCCTACGAGCGCGAGGGTACATGTAACGTACCATCTATAAGTACAGAAAACGGAGGTGTTGATCAATAGTTGATATATCAGAGACAAGGGCGTACTTTGTTCTACACATATATACATATACATACATACATAATATATATACATATGTATATATATACATATATATATGTATGTAAATTATCCATATATCACAAAGAGAGAAAGAGTAAAAAAAACAGAGTGAGCAAAAGTGAGATAGAGGGGTGGATTCTCTTTCTCTCCTACGCGAATGCGTGTATTAAAAAAAAAAATAAAAATAAAAAAGACGTCTCGTGCATTCAGATAATGCAGTCCACATACGAGTTGAAGAAAATGGTGATGAGACAGACTGAGAGCGAGAGAGAGAGAGAAAGAGAGAGACAATGACAGACAGAAGTAAATGATAAAAATGAAATTGTCGGAAAAGCAAAGCTTACCCCCTTCTTATATGGTGCCTCCAGCATCGCTTCGACATCCAAATCCTCCGCCATTGCACGAGTCGGAGAGCTCTCTGAAACGCCACGCATTAGCAGACCAGACTTTTTACGCTGTTCGACGAGAAGAAAAATATATATATATATATATATATATATACGAGAAGGGCTCCTATTTACTACGAGCTATAATAACGTACGGACGACGAGCGTTCTAAATAGAACGACTCGAGCACCGATCGAGAGACTTAAAAAAACGCGAGAAACGATCGCTACGCGATGAGAACGTTGACGATGAGCTCAGCAAAATGGCCGCCAGCGAGAGCTTGGAGAGTAGCCGAGTTTCTCCTCCTCCCGGAAGTGACGCCCGTCAATACGTGAGTCGTCCGACAACCACTATTACGGAAATAACAAATAGCGCTTCGATTGACTCCGCAATTTCCAAGCATTTCATCTACCAATCAGAGCGAAGGAATCTTCGCTCCCTTCGTTCTGATTGGTCGCGCTCCAAGCATCGCGTTTGGACCTTGTGACGTCATGACTGTCACTCTCGAGAGAATGGAAAATTCAACGATACACATTTTTTATCGATCGATACGTTATTATAAGAATTATTATTTATTTTACGTTAATCTCCTTTTCATAAAGTTCAATAAAATTGTTTATAAATAAGACAAGTGTTAGATTGTCGGATAATTTGAGTCATATGACAAGAGAGAAGAATGAGAGGTGTCACGGCCCATGACATCTCTCAGACCGTGTTCCGAAATTGCTGCCAATTTACTGCCAGCACTGAAAATATATAATATACGTAACGTACACTATAGAATTTGCAGTACTGGCAGTAATTTCGGAACACGGCTACTGTCTTCTCTCTGCCATTCGGCCGGGTCTACAATAGGTAATTTAAGTCTTAAGCCTTAAGAGATTGACCAATCACAATTAAGTATGAAGAGAATACTCGGCTGTGATTGGTCAATTTCTTAAGGCTTAGGGTTAAATTATCTATTGTAGATCGGGACTTCGAAAACGCCAATAATGTAGGAATATCTAGATGGACATACTCGATAACCAATCAGCTTCGCGTTTCAACGAAAGTGATGATACACAACGGAAGATGATTGGCTACCTGTCATTTTACTCGCAAGGATCTCCAAATAAATTTTTTACGTCACATACGTGCATCGTTCGGTAAATGTTAGTTCGCGAGCTTGTGTGAATTCCCGTGTACGTGATTAAATATGTACGTATTCATATGTCTACATATATATGTAGCAATGATAGAGCTTCAGAAATGGAATCTTGGTGTTTATTAATAATTTCCCCCGACGTTGTATGAAATACGAGTCCACAATTAGCCGATATAATTAGGAGCTATTAACGAAATTTCCGTAAACTTGTAGTAAGCTTCCTACGCTTTGAATTTGGAACAATTTGGAGATTAATTGTAGCGGCTCCTCGCAACATGTACGAGAAACGAGAGGAGATGTATTCGTGAAGAGTACGGTTTCTCGAATAATCGTTCACGAAAAAGTACATGAATTATCGCACGCTTAAAATGGATGCATCCTTGTCAGGTGAGAATTGCAATTATATTTTATAATAATTTTTAAAATTTTAGTATCGCCAAAATTCATTCACATTCTGTTTTAAGAGATAAATAAGTACTATAAATAACTTAGTATTGCTATTTATTCTAAACAATCTAATGGATTCTAGAATTTTTTTCTAACTTATATATCACATTAATAATTTTGTTTTGTATAAATATATTTTATAGTAATTCTTATTCTGTAGCTTATTGGGTGAAGTTTTTCAAAGGAGCTGGATTTTCGCAAGATGTAGCCACTAAACATGCAGTTGTATTTTCCAACAATCGTATTAAACCAGATATGTTACCGGATTTAGATAAACCTAGTCTAAAAGAAATGGGTATTACATTAATGGGTGATATGATTGCTATTTTGAGATACGCCAAGAAAGTTGTGGAAGAAACAACATGCGAGAGATTCCTAGTCGATTCGGAAGATATAGCTTCTGCTCCAAAAGTTAGTCCAAAACCTATTGCGAAGAAAGTAGTTTCCAAAGAAATTGGAAATAAGATGGTAGTTTCATTAGCTTCAAAAACAGATGTTGCAAAGAAGATAGTTAAGCCTTTGTCTACAACAGCAAAAAAGATTGTGACCATAAAGAAACCGATATCTGTATCGACTACTAACAATATTACTAATCAAAAGCAAACCTCTGTTAAAAGAAAACTAGTGTCGGATGAAGTATACGAGGACGATGATGATAACTGGAATATTATGGAAAAGAAAACTAAAACGACGAACGGCAAGGATGATACTGTCGAATATACCATCACTGTTCCAAAACCAACAAGCGTAAGAACTCAAGTCCTTAAAAAGCCTATTGAACAAAAACGAACGGTATTCGACAGACTAGGTGATAGTTCTGTTACAAGCACAACCAATTTAGCCGATACAACACCTACTTTCAACATTACTGGTGTCAGCAAGGATGTATTCAAAAGATCGACTAGTGTGTTTAAGCGTCTTGGGGATATAGACGATAAGAGAGATGTGACTACTGCAGGAATACTTAAGAATGGATCGGGAATTCCTAGTTCACCAGGTATATTGAAGAATCGGATATCACCTACTATACGTACATCGATTGTAACGAAAAGAATTATACCCAAAACTACCGGTACTATGCATGCCGATCATGAAGTCAGTAAAAAGATTGCTTTGAACAACACAAGTCGTATACTTAAATTGAAAAAAGAGGTATCTGATGCTACACCAAGCAGTGAAAGAATCACCAAACCTACAGTTACATCTGGCAAATTAGGTGCGTGTAAACATATTGCAGAAATTTAATTATAATGATAAAAATTATATAAACACAACAGATATTCTTATCAATTACAATTTTATTATTACAGCTTCGGAGAGACTTATCTCCATACCGGCTAAGGCACGCCTTGGCACAACCACTGCCAAACAAGTGACGTTTAGTAAAGTGGCAACAGTGACGCATGTCAAGAAAGCGGATGTTTTCAGTCGCCTAGGCCTTTAAGCTGGGTATCTTTTGTATTTTCTCTCCATTGTCAATCGCGAATGACTAGCAATTTGCGATCGAATCATTGTTTGTATAAAATAATCCTCCAAGCTGCCAGGTGCATCGACAACGGTTAGCGCAAACCGAACGATTGATTTCATTTCTTTTCTGTTATGATATGCAAGATATATCGCTAATCAGAGTCGTTGCAAGGCTGCGAGAGTGTTGTTACAAATAACACGTATGGTGTAAATATAATAAAAGAGACATTGACGTTTTATATTTACGATGTAGCGACGCCATGAATTGCTCGGACATGATAACGTTAGTCTAATGTGATATATATCGTTTTTGTTTCCTAAGAAAACATTAAGAATTCTCAATAAAAGTAATTCAACTTTTTTTTCTTTCTTTAAAAATAGTTGAATTTTTTTTTTGGAAGATTCAAATTTACGTAAAAATTGAGAAAATACAGTTGTGTAAGACTTCGAAAATCAAGTTTGTGTAAAACTGTCTTTATACTTCATGAAATATTTACATGACAAGATATTTACATACAATTGTATGAACGAGCAATTATAGACTTTATGTATTTAGATATCATATTTGTTCTCTTATCTGTATTTCTATCTAATAATCTTTTTCAACGTCTCTTTTTTTCCTCCTTTTTCTTCGTATCTTTCTGTTATGCATCATAAATATTTATTTGCTTCATAATATTTAAGAATAGATATTGTGACAAAGTAAAATAGGAGTATAAAGTATTCTTGTACTCTATTTTCAACAGTTATTGACATCTTAAATTATTGAAAAATATTGCTTACAACAAATTGATGGTTTTATACATTTTGTATCATTGGCAATTAATATTATATATGCTATATATCAATTTGTATAATTGGCAATTAATACTATATAATACTATATATCAATTTATTGCTATTCTAGCAACATGATTTTTAATAAATAAGATAGAGATATATCTTGATTAATTTAATATAGACCATCGCTGTCGATCCATCAAAATTGACTAAAGGAGGAAAGAAATATGCGTCTTGAATAATCCAATATTTATTTTTACCTAATTAAATTTATGAAATTTGCATTTTCTTTTACAGCATCTTAAAAGCGAGTAAAAAAGAAACTTAAAAAACAAATTTAACGATATCTATCTCTATAAGCTTTTAAGATACTTAACTTAAAAAATGCATTTGCAAACACGTGAAAAAAATGGAAAATAAATTCAAAGAAACGAAGAAAATTCTCTCGTACAATTTTCCATGCAAATGATTCTTTCCAAATTAATCGTTCTAAGTTTATTCTTTTTCGAACTTTTTTTATTTTTTTTATTTTTTTTATTTTTCGAACTTTCAAATATACATCTCTTTCATTTTATTTAATTTTAATTCAGCCAAAAAAAAAATAATTCTCCATCGAATTACGTTTCCCCTCTAGGTCGTACACAAGTAGTTCGTGGTTCGCGGGTCGCGAGTCGCGAGTCGCGCTTCCCCTCTAGATCGCGCGTGATTGACTCATGGCCCGCGCTCGCGTTCGGGAATGGCGTCGCCCCGATCGATTCGGGAATTTCGCGCGGACCGCGCGTCGGTCCTATTTTAGTCGCGTGTGTGGGTGAATGAGGTGTCGCGTCGCGTACGTCTCCGGCGCTATTTTCATCACCCCTGCGTCCTCGCGAGCGAGTCACAGCTGAGGAGTCGGCTTGCGTGCGTGCGTACGTGCGCGAGCGAGGGAGGAAGAAGGACAGAAGTTAGTTTCGGCCGATGAGCCCGGCCCGCTGCGTACGTATGATTCGCAACGAAACGACGTTACCTTGCGTGCGCGCGCGCGAGAGAGAGAGAGAGCTACCCCTCCGTCGTGACAGCTGCGTCACGAAGTAACATTACGTAGCGGTTCGAATTGTACGCGTACAATCGAATTTCACGATAAGCTCTACGCTTGACGCGACGCAGCCGCGAGCTGTCACGACGACTCTGACGTTTGACGCGTTGTCCGCGTTATTATCTCTTTTTCATAGAGTCCGTACGTCCAAACAAATGCGGAAAAAGAGACTGTTCTCGCTTTGTCGAACATTCACACTCGACAAGGAGAGGGTGAGAAGGAGAGAGAGAGAGAGAGAACGATGGGGAGAATTTAGAAGGGAATCGGTGGAAGGGGTCTCGCTCCCCCTCCTTCGATGAGAAATGGAGAGGAGAGCGAATGAGACCCTCGTCCCCTATATGAGAGGAGTAGTCGCGATCGGGAGGAGAGGGGGGGGTCGTGCGCCGGCGAGCAAATCGCGTATGTCAGACTCGTGGCAGAGGGGTCAACGCGAGGGAAAGAACGACACGAAACCGAACGTTTTCTGGGCTTAGCGGGTACGTTTTCACGTTGGGTCTCTCGCTGCACTTCTCCCTTTCTCTCTCCCTCTATCTCTCTCTCTCAAGTTCTCCCTTAGTCATCGTGCTCGGCCCCCTTTGATTTCCCCCTTCGTGCCTCTCTCTCTCTCTTTTTTTAATCTCCAGTCTCCCCCCCTCTTCCCCCAAGTACACGCGTCGCTGTCACCGAAACGAACTTGCGTACGTACGTACGCCGAGGAGATACATATCGATCTTTGATCGAGCGTTTCTCTCCGAAAAGCTCGCTCGCGAAAGGCTCCTCTCTTCTTTCCCCTCTTCTTTTTCTCTGTTTAGTTTAATCTTTCCCGTTGTGTAACGGGGCGAGTAACGTTGTAACGAAGTCGTGTGACAGCACGTTTTTGGCGTTTGCGTTTAAAGGAACGTGAGACACGCATACGAGCGAGAGGATGAACGACATGGAAGCCTACGGGGACGGATATATGGCACCGGAGGAGGAATGGGAGAGGGAGGGTCTCTTGGACCCTGCCTGGGAGAAACAGCAGAAAAAGGTGAGCGAGTTTCGTCTTCTTCCTCTTCTTTTTCCGCTACCTTGAGACTCTAGCGAGCATTTTTGGGCCCAAACTCGCCCGGCCCATTCGCTTTCTGAAATAGAACGAAAATTGTCGGATTGAATTTTTTACTTTCACATATTTCTCATGTTTTATTCCGAGTTTTATCCGAACCCACCGTTATCGGTTTACGTAAAAAAAGTTACATTGATTACTTGAGGCAAATTTGCATCAAGTATCTTCGCTTTTTTATTGCTAAAAAAAAATAAAAGATTCTCTTCAGGGCAAAGATTAAGTGAACTCGCGAAAATCTGGAGGCGATTTTGTGTGGGCTAATTTACTCTCTTATCTATACCTTTATTTATTGTGATTAAAAAGCATACTGTAATCATGGATGTATAAAGATAGAACCTTTAGCCTTTGGTTACACACACACATACATACTATCTCTCAGAGATAGAAACTATTGAATCATTTTCCTTTATGACTCAAATTAAATCTATTGTAAAAAATCGAAGAAGATATAACGTTTTGTGTCTCTTCCTGTCTTATAATTTAACATGCACGCAGGAAAGTGTACGATGCTGAATTCTATCTCTTGATATTTATGATGCTATTGAGAAGATAAATCAAGTGCATTTGTAAAATGTGTGGCTAGAAAAACGAATAACTGATAAAGACAAAAAAATTATGTTCATTTAGCAAAAAAAAAAATTTCGATTGAGAATTTAGCAGATCGAGGATTGAGGTTTATCAGGTTCCTTAGATTGTGGTAATCTTATCAGATATTGACGTACTATAATAACGCAAAGGCGCGCACTTTTGTGTAATCATCGTAGTAGCATTAATGTAATGATTTACATTAACGTGACAAATTATATTATTTTTTTCTACTGCGTAAAAGTCACATCTGCAAGTCATATAAACAATATTTTTTCACGACTCTGTCTTTGATTGAAAAAAATTTATCATCGTTAAGACAATAATGTTCATTGCAAAGTTAATGGGACATAATTGTCAGTAATATCGAGTGATGAATTGTAATTGAATTTTAAAATACGGATTTTAAAGTAGAATATAATTTGATGATTATTAACATGTATAAATTACATTCTTATCTATGGGTTTTTACCATACGCGATCAAATTACATTCTAATGTTTCATCAAAATATAGGATATTTCGAATATCAGATATAACGTTGGAAGAAATTAATTACATTAATTAATTTCTATTTAAAAAGAGCCGAAGAAACTGACTGATATCAAAAACTTTTAAAACTTTAAAAACCTTTACGTCGATATTTAATATCATTTAAATATTTAATACCATATATTTAATACCATATATTTTATAGCTTTACGTTAGATTGTCGAAGTAATATAAACGAATATATATCTAAAAAAGAATTATCGCACTTAAATAAAAAGGAGGAGATAAAGTGAAGATACGATCTCTTTAATTAAAACCGTACACAACAAGTGAAGTTTTTTTTCGCCGACATCTTTCAACAGTTCCTACTCGCAATTTAATTCGACGCAGCGTCATTAGATACTGACAAATCGTAAGCATTCCCTCGAGTACGCGTTCGCAAATATTTTCCTCATCTTTGGCATGAGCTCAAGGCTTTCCCGGAGCTCTCCCGCCTCTCTCTCACTCTCTCTCTTTCTCTCTCTCTCTCTAGTATAATATCGGCCGCAGCCCTTCGGATTGTATTTTCAGACTTTATGACAAAAATAATCGAGCAATGAGTCACGCCTGCGAGCGTGATTTTCACGATTCTCGTGACCGTTTCTCCTGCTGTTGCTCGAGTGATTTTTTTTCTTCTTTCCTCTCTTTCCCTCTCGTTATCTTTTTCCTTTTCCATTCCGCGCGAAGGCGCGTTGGCGTCGAGTCAGGTATTAGATAAGCGACGCTGATAATATGGTTATGCGCGCGCGTCAATGTAAAGCTTACGCGTTCCTGAGATACGAAACGCGCCCGATACGCCGGCCTCGTCGTCGCCGAGAGAGCGGGCATTTTTCGTAACGCCTCTAATTTTAGAGATCCGCGTGTGCCCCATTCCGGAAACGCGGTCCGAGAGGCCGACGCCGAGATTCGCGTCGCGGCGACGAAAACTCATTCCGTTCACCGAATCGCGCGCGAACATTTGTTCCTTCGCGTTTCGTAGAACAAAGCTCTTGCGCGACGATTTCCCCTTTCAAACATGACATGACAATGTTTCTGTGAATTCAATAGGTTCCGGCGAAGTCGGAAGGAAGCGATACCGAGGAAGAAATGTAGGAATCATTCTTCAATTTTTCCTCTCCGTCTTAGAATCCTTTTATGATTAGAAAAATTAATAATTTATTGTCATATTAAGAAATACTTTGAAGTAATAATAACATTAATCGTATTGAGAAAGTTTTGAAATATTTAGGATGAATATATATATTTAATAATAAAATAAAATTAATAATAAAATAATAAATATATATATTTAGGATAAATGAAAAGAGTTGAAATTTGCATCTTCTTCAATTTTATTCGCAAATCTCTTGAAATGTTTCATTTCTAAAAATGTAAAACATCGATTCGAAAATTAAATACAAAAAAACATCTGATATAATAAATAAAATGTAAGTTTTTATTTTTATTCATTTTTCATTTTTATTAATATCGTTTTCATTTCATTCATTTTTCATTTTTATTCATCATTTTTAATAAGACAGTTTTATATCAATTAATTGTATAATTACATTCGATATTATAAAATAAAATTGATTGAAGAATATGTCTAAAATAGTCGCACTTTATGTCAGATAAGTAACAAAATTCTTATTTATATTCCAGCATATTCTTTATCACGATTTTACTCTTCAATCTTTAAATTAAAAAAATAATTATAAAGCTATTGCATATGATTCCGATACAAATTTTCGTTAGATTTGAATATACTAGAAATATTTACTGCCGCGGAAGCATGGGATACTCTCCCCCTTTTTTCGCTCTTAATAAGTCTATATCCGTATCTATCAAGTATACATGTATTTATACGAGACACGAAAATCAAGGCAAGGTAGCACCCGGTGTCATTCGAATTTCGTGCGTTCAAATCTGGCTTGAATCGAAATTGATGGAGTATGACGGGGAGGACGGGCCAATTAGCAGTACCGTTTAAACGCATTGAGGAGGTGGATGACACGCGCCGGCCGATTAACTGTACAGGAGAATTTCTCGTAAAATCTCTCTCTCTCTCTCTCTCTTTCTCTGCGTACGTCGCGTTGTCAGCCGCGCGCGGACCAAACATTCCGGCGATAGGAATCTTTTTCTCCGACGACGTTTAAATAGGTCGCGGCTGCTCGGAAACAGCTGCTCGGCTCGAGCTTTCAGACTCGCCGTTCGCGATCCTCCGAGCCCTTACTTTACCTTTATGTCCGATCTCGGAATAATCTCATATGCTGGAAATCATATTTTGCTAGACACTTTTTTATTTAATTCTCCGCTCTCGTATCTTTTTTTTTTTTTTTCAACAAAACACTGCGTTTGAAATTAGAATAAATGTCACTTCTGATTTGAGGATCTTGGATATTCTTTTCTCTTTGTGATATTTGTTTTATCTTAATGCTTAATTTAAATGTCTATGATGTTTTGTAAACGATTTCACAATTGTTATTCGAAATTTATAATTTACTTGCATTTCATAATGAATACGAAATATCGCATATTTTTCATTCGATTTTCCGCTCTCGTATCATTTTTTAAAACAATTAACACTATCGATCTTGGATAATTTTTTTTTTATGCGATATTTTTTTCTACATTTGTTTTATCTTAATTCTGAGTTTAAATATCATTATGATATCTTATATATAGTTTCTTGATTATTATTCGAAATTTATAATTTATTTGTACGAGTTACATTTAAACATAAAATATCATATGATCTGCTTTTTGAATTGGAAACGTTTGAATCACTCTGTACTTGTATTTGATGACTGCAGGTGTTTATTACATACTCATGATTACTTTATAGTATAAATATCTCATTATTGCTTCATTGAATCAGCTCACTGTAGATAAAGTATATCGACCATATGTCGTTACAATTTCACGCATAGTTTGATTAATTTGAATAATTTAACATTCGACGTGTCTTGGAACTGATTATTATTGCAAAGTTTCTCGTGCACACATTTAACAACCAACTTAGCCAAGGTATTTGTCGGGAGCATAAATCTTTTCGCGAGCAATTGTCGCAGCTCATGAAGACTATTTTTCTAGACGACATTCACACTTGAACGCCACACATCGAAACGTTTAAAGCGTTCATTAAAGTCTTTCCCTAGACTTACTATGACATCTTGGCGCCGTTAGAGAATAGGTTACTGATTAAAAATAGATAGTGTCGCGTAGCTGAAATTTATGAACCTTTACGCAATTAATATGGGCAGTCTCCTGATTTTTATTAACGTTAAATTCCAATATATCATATCTTTATTTGTTATATCCATATTAATATATTTATCATAAAATATCATCAAAGTCATAGATAAAGTGATAAAATGAATATCTCAAATGAAATATTAATTAAAAATTTCCCTTCCTTCCAATTCATCCATCTAATCTCTTTTTGGATTGGAAAACATTAAAAATAAAGGAAAATTTTTTCTCCATAAATTTTCATTTTTATTGGCTTTGCTTTCTCCAGGAAGAAAGCTGGCTACGTTTCTGGAAATAGGATTAAACGTAAATAATTTCAACGGTATCGCGATATTTTCTTTAATAAAATCGATGTTAATTCGTGCTTTTCATCATCGCCGTTGACTATTAATTTATTTTTCACTCTCACGCTCGTACTATTTCAATTATCGTTACCCCCGACCACCCCCTCAATTACTCGCATAGATGGAATTATCTCATTCGCGTACTATGTAATTAGAAATCGCCGATTAATCGCGTTGTATCGACGCGCTCTCACCCGAGATTAATTCATGTTGTCCTTTCCTCACTGCGTTGCAA